TATGGCACAAACCGCCGAATGCAAGTTCACTGCTTTCCAAGTACCTGACCTGAATTCACTACCGTTATACAAAATGATGACTAACACCTCAATAGATCCAATGGTTAATGTAAGCAATTTTTTGTAAAACTATCACTAATGACTCGGTAGGTTAGTCAGACGTCTCATAATTGACAAGTCGGTTAACACAAATCATTGGTTGGTCTAGTCATGTAACCTCGGGGGTTCGAGTCGGTGGTTGGACAAGACACATATGTTTGATCTACTCCTTCCCTGACTTGACTTTACGTTCTACGTCTCCTAGGCCCAGAGAGCGTCCACGATGTTTCGCCGATGAGATCTATCTTAGGCAATAAAAGGCTTGTAAATAAAACTCGATCAAACAAACGCCGACAAACATTTTATGTTACTTTTACTGTCTTTGTATGTTTATTTTTGTGTACATAATAATCACAAATTTACCTACGACTTTTATTTAAAAACCATTTACGTGTTTAAATAAAACATTTTAACGGTTTAAAAAGCGATATATAGTGTCTATAGTTTACGCGAGTAGTACACATTTAAATAAAACACTTTAACGGTTTAAAACGCGATATATATTAATAAATCACTGCTATTGCAAAGCATCCGAAACGTCGTGGCGTAAATTAATTTTCAAAAAAGTTTTAATGTGTACTGCTCGCGTAAATTACAGACAGTTTTAAACCATTATGACCATATAACCATGATGAATGCATCGAAAAAATTAAAAATTCAAAGAATCCCCATGAATAAGTCTTATCACTACCTGTAGCGAACCAATGATGAAACATTAACTGTATTTTTTATCCTTTATCGCGATCCAATTTGCTCTGACGCAATTATGATACACGATATAATGACCAAAATAAATATTTACAGTACATCATGTGCATTACTCAGTCGCTTAACAAAAGGCGTTATGAATGTTTAATCTGTTAAGTAAACACTTAACAGTTAGAAATAAAGGAAAAATATTAAGGAGATGTTCACATGTTTGAGAATACTTCCAAACAAATGGCTGCGCTTGTTTGATTTAAAAATAATTAAGGGAATAATGCAAGTAGTGTCAAAGCTTACGAGAGTAGTACACGTTTAAATAAAACAGTTTTAACGGATCAAACGCCAGCTGCAATGTATCCAAAATGTAGTTCGTAGTTAAGATAAATTATAAAATAAGTTTAACTAACATTTGTTAAGCTTTGAAAACTTTATTTATTAATACAAGTTTAAGTAAAATTAATTAATATGTATAATAATTATTTAAACTTTTTTTACATGTTATTTATTGCACATGAAGGCACTATATAATTTAAAAATCGAAAATAAAATGAAAAAAATTTCGACTCGGGCAGGACTTGAACCGGCGTCCTCAGCGTTCCGTGCTGTTGCTCTAGTGGTAGAACTCGGTAGCTCAATTGGTAGAGCATCAGCACGGCTGATGATGATGACGATGTCGGTTCAAGTCCTGCCCGAGTCGAAAATTTTTTCAATTTATTTTCGATTTTTAAATTATAACAGAAATTATTGAAAACTGTGAAGAACGTTCGTGATTAATTCGTTAATCCCTCTAACAACATACGAGTTTTCAATATCGATTGAGTAGTACCGGAAATAAGCAAACAAATTTCTGATATGCCTCTGTAATGCACCATTCTTATAAATATTATTCACTATAATAATATTACGCATGACCCATATTTCATCTAATCTATAAGGAAACAATCCAAATTTCGTAAAGACTCAAATATGTGTAATAACGACTCATATCCCGATATTATCAACTAGCTGCGCCAGCGACTTCGTCCGCGTAGAATAGTTATTTATCAAAGTTTGTTTTTACAAACCTGTTACTCAATTTATAAATTATGGCGGTTAAGTGATTTTTAGAACGTTGAATGTAGAATCATTCTTTCGTACATATTTTTCGAGTATCTTATATACCGCGTACAGCGTAGGTACATAGGAAACCAACCAAGATTACTAATTTTCCCCCCTTTTTTTACATTTTCCGCTGTTTCTTCACTCCTATTAGTCGCACCGCGCAATGTGTTAAACTTATAGCCTATAAATAAAGCCTTCCTCGGGAAAGGCTCTAAATAACACAAAAATAAATTTTCAATTCAAACCAGTAGTTCCTGAGATTAGCACGTTCGAACAAACAAACATACTTATCAGCTTTATATATTAGTACCTATAGAAGTATAGATTCCTTGGAACATGGAAGTATTAATTCTGATTTAGGTAAAGCAGGTAGGCCTTGGACAATAGCATTTTATCGCGTATATGGAGTTGAAGCCAGTCGGATGCTGGTCCTAGTATGGTAGCTTGTTAGAATTCTTCATGACAATTTTATCAGTGATGGATCGAGATTGGTCTCTAGATCTTTACAGCTAATATAGAGCCGCTTTGATGCTCGTTTAAATAGGAACATATTATGTTGTAAATGTTGGAACAATAAAACAAATAATAAAGTGTAATTAAAAATCGATTATAAATTTAAAAAACTACGACACGCGCACAATATGAATTCTCTAACCAATAGAGCTTCCGTGTCCTAACTGTCTTCATTGAATATTTTCAATCTATTAAAACATGCCCCTCTCGCGCAACAGGATTGCGCTGTGTTTTTGTCTATGTTGTTTTTTTTTAAATTTTTAATGTATATACAGCCATTGTGTAAATGTGATTTTAGGAACATGCAATTAAATAAAACATTTTAACGCCTTAAAACGCGATATATACGGCCCGACGTTTCGGATGCTTTGCAGCAGCCGTGGTCAAGGGGAGACTGACCACGGCTCACGGCCACCAGACAGTTAAAAATTATTTTCAAATAAGTTTAACTTATATATATATATCGCGTTTTAAACCGTTAAAGCGTTTTATTTAAATGTGTACAACTCGCGTAAACTATAGAGTATAGACAGTATTAAACATGCAATTAGTCTTTTAAAGTCTGTTGTGTCTGTAGGATGAGGAAATTTAGGGACTTAAAAAAATCGTCAAGAGAGTAGTTTCACGTAATAAACCTACATTTGAATTTCGAATGTTCTCTTCTTTTCTTCTCTCCTATAGCAGAAATATATGATACCTCTCATTTATTTTAACATGCAACCGTTGGTGGCAATTACCACGTTCTATATAGGATGCAATGTTATGACTCAAGTTAACTTTTTTAATATCTTTTGTGGTTTCTGGTTAGTGGCGTTTTAGTTGAATCATGATCACGTTTTCTGATCAGTCACAGTTTGTGAAGCTTTTCTCCTTGGTGACCTCTGCCTTACAAAGATCTGTCTTAGACAAATATATGTATTTATTTACGTATGTGTATAGGTTTCATTCGATCAACATGCACCAATTTAAAGAAACCGTACCCAAAAAATATCTATAAATTATATAATATGAATTTATTACCAGACTGTTTTACAACTTAAAATAATTGAAAAATTTTGTTAAAAAAATATTTAAGAGGGACCACTAAACTAGAGACATTATTTATATACATAGATGCCAATAATAACGAGAAGTTTTAATAGAAGCAAAATGTAGTTCTGGAATTTTATACTAAACACTTTTTTTATGGTAGAGTTGGATAGACACGTATATGGGTCACTTGATGGTAGGTGAAAAACTCCAGCCATATAACATCGACACAAGATGTGCTGTCGAACTATTTTGGCTTTGGATACTCGGAAATCTTCAGACTGAAACCGAAACGCGATTCATCTGTTGACGGTAGTTCGTAACCCGGGCGAAATTTTTATATTCCTACCACCCTTTTGATATCCAAAATTCCAGACGAAGTTGAAGCCATAAATTGATACTATTACATCAAACATTGTCTATAGTTTACGCGAGTAGTACACATTTATATGATATATTAGTTAATTAACTAATATATCGCGTTTTAAACCGTTAAAGTGTTTTATTTAACATTTACACCAACCAGCCCATAAATCTTTTTGAAAATTATCTCTATTTTACATAGTCCGCGAATTTGACATTAATTTCAATAATCAACGCATCGCTCTGAATTTCCATCACGTGTGGTCCTAAGTTCGAGTGTAAAAAAATCATATACGGTATGACATAAAATGAGTCTCCCGGTTCTTCGTATATTCGTAACAGGAATTCACTCAAATACAAAAGCTCTCAACAAAAATGGCCTTGTAAACCTTATCGTAATTGGTTTTAAACTATCGTAAACTATACAATATGGAAAGGACATAAACGACGTACTGAACGATTTCTTTGCTTTCTTTATACTAACAGAATAATAAAACCAGCTGAGAATATAAATCTTGTACTTTTATTGAGTGAAGCTTTATTTAAACTGTGTGATGTTAACTTCCATAATCTGTGCAAGTCTAGACGGCGTTTGGGGATCCTCTTGTAGTCTATGACTTTGGTATGACTGGCAACACTTAATATTCGAGTTTGCAAATATTTTTATCTCATTACCACCCTTCAATATCAGCGCTTGTAAGCGTATAATCCAATCAAAAACATGTTGAAAATCTAATTTCATTTGATCTTACAATATTGAGTTGCCAGAATTTTTTTTAAAAGCATTTACGAGCTTTTTAGCTTTGAATAAATTTAAACTACAATTTCAAGAAATGTTAATTGTTTAACGCTAATCAAAATATTTTACTTTTTTATTTAAAAAGGAGGGTAGACTAACATGTGGCTAACTTGAATAGTGAAGTACTAGAACCTCATTACATTCGAAATCCACAGACAATTTGTGATTCGGAAGGAATTACCACCACCCACTTAATAGCTAGGTTTTCCAAGCGTTGCAATATTTTATTAAAATAATTTGGAAACACGTTGTACATAGATGACATACATTTAGATTAAGGAGCCAGTCAGAAAGCTTCAAAACACAGAAATCAAACCTCAGACTTCTTAAATATACAATCCGTTAATAAGACATCTACGCTGTGAAAGGTAATCAAAATTCCTAAACGCAGATGTTAAGTACAAAAACCTTCGATAAGGCACTCAATCGAACTTTGTACGGCCCGCTAATTGTGACTTCCCCTGGTTTCAACAGCACGAACAAAGGTTATAGAGAAGTTTTTAATCAAACAAAATAGCTTCTTGTACGCACTTTATTGTGCGTACAATAATAACCCACAAAGCGCCACTCACACATCAGCTGCCACGCACACTTGGAGCCGCATGCATTGATAGCAAAGTAGAATAGTCCGTACCGTTCACCCGAGTACCGAAAGCCAAGTTGTATTTAGTACAGAACCGCGCTTAGCCGCGTCGCGCGCGTATCGAGCGGTACGCTCCCGTACTTTACGAAAACGAACACGTTACCCGGCACTGTACAGTACTTTGAGTAAACACTCGATTCGATATTAACGTGTGAAAGAAAAAAAGTTAATTATAAGTGTGTAAAAAAGTTTTTGTAAAGTAGTGCTTTAAGTGAGCGTGTTGTTGTCCCTTTCCTTTGTGTGGGATGAAAGGGAAAGGGAGTTTTGGAGCAGGGAGCGCTCTGTTTTCGTGGTTTTCTTTTTCGATTTAGAGCGAATTGGGAAAATGTAAGTTCTACCGTAGGGTAAACGCACAGTTTTTGTCCATTACAATTTCAACTAAAATATATATATAATTTTCTAAATATTATCTAAATTTATAGTCCAACGTCTTACATACAATAAATATAATATTTACAAGTTCGCTTACAAGTTTTGCGTGAATGGCAGTTCAAAATTCGCTCCAGTCACGTATTTAAATTATCGCCGACTCCAATATTTTTCAACACATCGTGTGCAATACATCAATTTCAATAAACACTCGCCCGATACAGTTAAGTGCAAATAAAGCGTGATTTACTTGCTTATTATCATATGATTTATTTGTAGATTACTTCCAGCGGCGCGGACGCTGTAATTAAAATCGGTTTATAAATAGTTGCACTTAGGACGAGCTTGCTCTCAACTTGTGCCAAGTTTGGAGAGCTTTTGAACCGTTTTGTCGATTTATTTGAAATCGTTACTCATACACGTCTATGAATAGTATCAAAGTTCGTCTGTACCTTCTTCTTAGTGCAGTTTACACCGAAGCAATTTTCTAATTAATTTTCTTGTATCATCATCTGTTCTGTAGTTTACGCTAGTGTTATGACACTATACGTTAAATAAAACTTGACTTAGGTTCTAAAATGTTTTCTTATCCAATATCGTATGTTCAAATAAATTAAAACATATATTTTACGTTTTAAACAGGTAAAGGTATTTACGATGTCATATGCAAGTAAATATGTGTTTTATTTTATCTTTTTGTTAGGTGTTAACAAATATTAGGAAATATGTGTTTCTATAATGCAAATAATTAGATAATAAATATGCTATAGAAAACGAAAAGATATACAATCGGGGATCAAACCAACAACCCATGAATAGATTACTACAAGATCTATGTTCTTAAAAAAAGACATGAAACGCGAACATGTTAATATTGATTGATGTATAGTCATGCGATGGTTCATTTACCCTATTTTTATGTTTACCTTAAAAGCGACAACTGTCTGCATATACCTGTCACCTTGATTATGAATGAAATAAAATTAAAACTTACAATAATATTATTATAATATTTCATTTTCATCTCTTGCATATTTGCCTGCTTATAGGTGTATGGTATATATTTTATTCGGTGTGGTCTACAATTTCATCAAAATTTGTTTAGTAGTTTGTGATGATCTCGCCTTTTTCAATTCTAGACATTGTGGACTGAGACAGTGTATATACCTAAATACTGTCTATAGTTTACGCGAGTAGTACACATTTAAATAAAACACTTTAACGGTTTAAAACGCGATATATTAGTTAACGGGGTCTCCCCGTGACCACGGCTGCTGCAAAGCATCCGAAACGTCGGGCCGAAGTTAAAAATCATTTTCAAATTAGTTTAACTAATATATCGCGTTTTAAACCGTTAAAGTGTTTTATTTAAATGTATATACCTATATATATAAACAGATGTGCCAATGATATTTATCGTTTTGAAATTGTTTTATGCAAAACAGGTCAATAAAATAAAATACGCTTTCCCTTTGTAGCTGTAATAAAATTAAGATAATTTGAGCACAATTTCATTACAAACGTAGTTATTAAACATTATGACATAGAAGATCTAATAAAAAACGTAAATAAATGTCTTCGAGTTGTAAATGATAAATATTATAATCTTTATTAAATTACGAAAATAAATCTAGAATATGACAATATGGTAATCAATGTTTTATAACTGACAAAGATTAATATTTAAACTCGCCTTCAGATAACCTTCCAGTGTTGTTTACTAATAATTTGTTTTGTAAAGAGCCCGTGTTCTCTACATGATATACATTTTCTTCGAAACGGGTCTAGCCGTTTCAGACAATAAGAAACAGGCAAACAAAAATATTGACACACCTTAATTTTGAGATTTATAATCTACTACAACGAAGGAAGTACAAATCTTGAAGCTTTACAATAATTGTCTTATATACTCTGTGTAATTACAACAAACAGACACTATATTCCATGTATACTTATAATATACATATACATAATAAATCATACTGTTCTATATCAGTTTATAAACGGGCTTCATTTAATAACTTCTTGCTCTTAATATGAGACATAATAATGAATAATGATTTTGCATAATGAAGAGTCAGCTGTTTCATATAATTAAGATATTATAAACTAGCTGTGTCAGCGACTTCGACCGCGTAGAATAGTTATTAATGCTGTTATCCACGACGTCGTCCCCATGCCGTAGTTATTGTAAGTTAATCTTAAAAAATAGACTTATATTTATTATTTATTTATTTTATAGCCTAAATCCTTCCTCGACAAATGTTCTAACCAACACATAAACAATTTTTGATTTAGTACCTTTTACCATTAGTTCCTGAGATTAGCGCGTTCAAACATACAAACAAACAGATTCTTCAGCTTTATATATTAGTATATAGATAATAAAACCCGTCTCATTGTTGCAGAAATCGCTTCGATATCTTGTATACGCAAGAATATTATAAGTGTTCGAATAAGGGCGCCGCCCACGACGCGATAACGCAGCATCCGCAGAGAAATTAAACCACGGTAACAGGAAGCAGATAACGCGCACAGAACCGAAAGGTAACATGGGCATCGATTAAAAATCGAAATGAATCGAGCATCGATTACAGATAGGACAAATATGTTTGAATATGGAACCCTCGAAACGCGTCCAACGTGTTGTGTGGAAGAATCGATTATCGCAATGGAAGTTTGTGGCGGATCAAAGCGGCCTCATTTGAAATTTAAATGTGCGCGTTCCCGGGATTCTGTGAGGACAATGGGGGTGCACGTGCGAGTGCTAGCCGTGATCGGACTTGTGTTCTTGTTAGTGGCGACGGTTCAAGGTGCGCCCTCGAGGAGACGGTCTGGACGGAGTGCTCACGAGAAAAATGCGGTGAGTTCTATTTTGTATGATGAAGTCATATAGGCTATGGATGTCCTTTAAATTTTAATATTAGTAAGCGTATTTAATAATAGTAAGCTAATTTTCTATTTGATATAAATAATGTTCCTACTAGTATATTACATATATATTAACAAATTATTAAGTTTATTTAATTTAACCTTTTTTAACCACTAAAACGTGAAATAGTAGATAACTCTCCCACCTCCGTAACGACGGCTGCTGTATAGCATTCGAAACGTGAAGCCATTGTTAAAATAAATTGCAATTCTTTAATTAATATATTTTGCGTTATATACCGTTAAAGTGTTCTTTATTTAACGTAATTGTATTAGTATATAATATAATTCATATCTAAATATTGGAAATCAATGACATGAAATCATTATAATTTCACATGTTAAACATTATTTTAGACGGACGTGACTCAAACCTATGAACATATGTACCATGCCGTCTTGCCACTGTTAAAAAAAGATTATTGATTTTCATCTGATCAAAACATTAGCTGAGCTAACTCAAAAAAGAATCGATCGAGATCTTTAAGAAACAAATGCCAAGCGAATTTCTCGTCATCTTTTTAACACGTCAACTGGTGTCAAAGGTTATCCAAAAGTCTTAGTTACAAGCTTCGCCCTGGTGCCAGGGGACCCTAAAATAAAGCGTTGCATACAAAGCAGTTCAGTAACATCCTGACTAAAGATTGTTGTCTCGTCTGGCGTCTGCCGGAAACAGTATAACACTCGTTGTTTGCATCTCATTTTTTACGTTGGGGCTTTGATTAAATAGTCAAAAGACCGGTTTTTATATTTATTTTTAAAATTGCGTTCAAATGAAACACTTTTTACTTAATGTTATAGCTCAACTCATTTACAATTTATTTTAACAACGGCTTGACGATTCGCATGCTTTAGCAGTCGTGGTCACGTGGGGTCTGAAGATTTAGTATGTTTCGAATTTCAGTCTAAAATAAATTGTAAATAAGTTAAATAATGTTTTTCCCGTTTAGTTAAAACAAAACAGTTTAGTACAAAATGATTTAAAAATCGAAAATAAATTGAAAAAATTCTCGACTCGGGCAGGACTTGAACCGGCATCGTCAGCTTTCCGTGCTGTTGCTCTACCAATTGAGCTAGTTCGTGACGAAGCTTTAGGAACATTCGATCATTGTTAAAAATTATAATACAACGCATTTTCACCTTAACAGGTAATAATATTTTATTTTACTTTTAAATACTTCACAACAAATAAGCTACATTTTGTCGAAGTATTTCGATTCAGAACATTATCTCTACAATTCTCATAATCATTGAGAGCAATTTAGCAATTCGGACACAAAAAGCTGGCGTGTCCTATTAGATTGGCGGCGACAGACGGAAGGACCGTTCGTTAGATTAATGGGCTAAGTGAGGAGTGGGAGGTCCTCTAATACCTGGTGACTCGGAGAGACATCCTCGACCATTTATTATCCTACAAACTGTGAAAAATCTGACAAATTTCAACGGGTGTAATAAATCTTCACGAAGTGCGACGTGCGCCGTCTATATTCCGTCCGTGTTCTTTCCGTTGCCGTTTTACACAATTTTACAGATTACGGAAAAATTCCTTTTTTTTAAAAACTAGCTGTGCCCGCGTATTTGTCCGCGTAAAATAATATTTTGGGCTTGTTATTGATTTAAATTTAGAATCTACATCAGAAAAACGAGGCACTATGTATGATTACCTTTTGATAGGTAACGTTAAATGTACAATGTAAAATAAAACAAATTTACACAGAGTAGTCATACTTTACCTGGGAGGTTTCACAAGCTTGATCAATGGTAGTGTAGTGAAAATAAACTTAAGGCTGTTGTGTAACGAATTCAAAAAATAAAGCTACCTATTCAAATTTTGAATCAACAATTTAACATAAAATAATAAACAGATAAAATATCACAAGAAATGCATTTATCGTGAGATTAATTACGATGGGTCAGATTTAAATCAGAGTTGAACCAATTTTAATTACAGTTCAAACACGGCGTGACCGCGATGGTTAGCAGCTTCCTGCGCCCGCGCAGCACAACTAGGTCGTGTTTGTTTTAAAATTATGTAGTTATGTGAATGATAACTGGACCATCGCGTTGTTTTATTAATCATTACAGCTATTTATCCAAACGCTGTTAAACTGTTGTATTACGATAGATGCATTAAAATTTTACGAGTGTAAGGAAGACCTCCCCTGTTGTGTAATTTACTTGTGTAATAATGACCGAAATTCATACATAGAATGAGTATATAATATGGCAGTGAATCCTGTGTTTTTCTATGACCTATCTTAATTTTTCCAGTCCCTTTTAATAGTACTGAAAATCTGGTTAAGAAAGCAATTACAATATTGCCCTCGTCGACGATTGAGCCATTAATATATTGAAAAAAAAAGTAAAATGTCTAATAAGGCAAAATAAAAATATTTGTTTGTTGAAAGATTTAATTTATATTATGCACATTGTTTAGTTATCAACTCAATATCCTTCAATTTATATAAACACTTTCCAGCACAATTGTACAATCCATACTTCGCTTCAAAGGACTCGTGGATACGCCGTTTCGGAATACGTTTTTATCTCGGCAAAGTACAGTCAGGTAATAAAGGTGTGCAATCATTCTATATTTACCATCGAAACTGGAATTTATTTGCAGCGTAGGTGTTGTTCGAGTATTGCTCTTTCGAGATTTCACTTTCATTGGAATTCTAAAATACGCGTCTGGGATTCTGGTACCTTTCTGTCGAATCCGAGATGTTTGCGAATGCTCTCGCCTAATAGATCTGTTGTTTTAATTTAAATAAATCGCCCGATACATCGTTTCTACTTTACGGTTGTTGATCCATGATTTGTTTCGGGCTTTTAAAAATGGAATTCATTCTAATTGTAGATTTGTAGACAGCGCGGTATGAGTCAGACACGCAAGGGCGACCGTACAATTCTTGGTAACAATATTCGAATAGCTTTGAACAATTCAAACTTGGAACTTAAATAAAATAGCTTTTTAATTAATCGTTTTAAATAAAACCACAGATTAAACATGATATCCATAAAAAAAATGCTTTGAAGTTTCAAGAAATAATCAACACATAAGTTACACTCATAATTAGAGATACGATGATTTATCAGTTTCCTTTGATGTTAACAAGATCCTAAAACTAATTTTACCGATGTAGTTCCTGTTCGTTCCGTTTTATCGCGTTTTAGATAATCCCAGTCTTAACACGGAATTGAATATCAAAATGGCGTAGATGTATAGATAAGTACCGCCTAATTGGATCGTTGCAACATGACCGAGCGAACTGGAGCAATTTGTCATAATCCAGTGTAGTAATAGCCGGCAGTTGTAGATTTTGTCTTCTAGAAATTCTACTTAATTTGATTCATCATTAAGTCCACTGCCTGGTTATGAACAACGAAGGTGCGATTAGCGACGCGGAGAGTGAAGCGACTGTTCGCGCGACTTATCAGCTTACTCCGTTCTGATCTTTTGTGTGGCTCGACGTTTACATCGCCAGTCGCCGCATTGTGTGGCTTAATGAGAACATTGCCATACAATTAAGTCGCCCTAAGTGTTGCACGAATTTTGGCATCGGCGGGTGTTCCATAGGTTAAATGGAGCACGTAAATTAAATCTCAGAATCTTTTTAATATCAGCATATCATTATTTTTCGGGCTGTCGGGACGTGAGCGAGAAGAGGTTCTCGACGTTTCCCATCGCGTACGGTCGGCATCATCAGGAGATGTTAACTACTCGATTGGTCGAAGAATTAACGAAGGAGTAATCGAGGAGTTATCACATGATATGCTGAACGATGGCCGTGAAAGCTTTTATTTTCAATATCGGTATTGGACTTGAAATAATATTTATTATAATCTTCATCCTTAAACTCAATAATTTTCTTTCGTTCGTTACGTTTGACGGCAAATTTTGTAATTACTTTTGGTTTTTAGGCAGTCTATTTTTATTTTTACGCACGTGCTAATTAATATTAATTTAGGACGGTACAATACTGATAGAACAGTTAGGTATTTGTATATATTACACTTTGCTAAATTTCAGATTGAATAATAGCCATATTAGTTGCGAACTAGCTCCTTAGATGAGGTGATTTTATAGGTTTAACTACTTGTAATCAAACCCTGAACTCCTGTTGCTACTTTCCGTTTAACGTCTGGCTGTAAATAGCAAGATATATTATGCGTTTTGGAAGGGTTTCCCCAAGGTTGGCAGCCATACAACATTGACGGCTGATGCCACATTCCGTAAATACCTATTTATTTTAAAATCGTCTCTTGACAATATAAATTTTGCTGGTGATATTAATATTTTTTCAAAAGCTTGAGTAACTAGATGCACCTTATTCAATGTATATTTACAAAATCATTTGTCTGTAAAAATACATAGTAACAATAGCGAAACTCGAGAGACCAATAATTTTTATCGTAGTTTTTGTACGTTATAGAGTTCACAGTTATAAAGATAATATTACAAAAAGTATAACTTTATTTTTTCGTTTTACCGTAACGCAAAAACATGTAAGCACGTTCGAGCACTTTTATAAGTGGATGGACTGTAACTGGTAATAATGTATTTTGAACGTTATATTAGAAATGATAGTCCACATTTGACCTTATTTGATTCTTAGCAGTCACCAATTAATTTGTAACAGGCGCTTACAATTACTTTATAATGGTAGAAGTGATTTTAATTGGTACAACACTTTCTCTTAACGAGTTCGGGTCATAGACAATAGCAGGAGGATTCATAGTTGCAGTTTTAATAGAATCTAAGAAAAAAATATTTTTTTTTCTAATAAATAGTGTTATTGATTTTTTATCATTTCATAATTGTTTTTGCTTGAAATACAATGTATAAAAAAATAAAAAAGATTTTCGCCCAACGTGGGGCTCGAACCCACGACCCTGAGATTAAGAGTCTCATGCTCTACCGACTGAGCTAGC